AACAACGACACTACTACGTACGTACGACTACTACTACGTCTCTTCTTCTTCTTCTTCTCTCTCTCTCTCTATATATATATATATATATATATATATATATATATATATAGTTGTGTATATGTATTAGTGAATGTATTGGTAAAATTGTAGTTTTACTACTATAATATGGTGAGAAATGCCTTAGGCCTTGCATATGTGCTAACAAAATGGCCTGCAAATTGTTTTCATAATTACAGTAGGAAGTGCTTTAAAAACCATTTGTTTTGCTCTCTCCTCTTGGTCGATCTCTTATAATTAGGGTGTTAAGGTTTAGAGCCCTAGTAAGAGTGGATATCCCATTATCTGAATTCAAACCAGGAGTGGGGGAGGGTGTGCTCCCAAGTATTGCTGTGGGAGGGTGTTTTTTTCATAGTTATCATGATCTTCCAATTGAGGGTCGACTTCGATCAGAAAGCTTACTTCTATGCTCCAAGGAGGGGTTCATGCTCCTCTGCGATTTTTAAACATTTAGATCATGATCTTTTATTAGGGGTTGAGATCTTGAGTTCCAAGGTATCGAAATTTCTCTACAGCATATCTAAGGGTTCATTGGTATACTAAACTGAGCTTCCACCAATGCGTTTGTTAGTGCGTATTTTTGACATACTAATTCCCCAATGTGAATAATAGAGGAGGCGGTTGCTACTCAAGCCTGTATGTGCCAGTATGGACTATGGAAGACCTCACAAATAAACCTTATTTTGAAGAGCCATGATAGAGATGTCATCTCGGCCCCAAATCAAGCATACGAGTCTCTTATGATGATCCGAGGATACCCTCCAAGTTTCGTCCACTTGCGTGACTACGGTGCACCATAGCTAGAATTCAACTCTAGAGACCTCTAATGATCATGGGATGCCGAGAACAACCACCCTACCAAATTTCAGCTTAATCTGACCTTCCCATGTCGTATTTTCCATAAATGGCAAAATTTTTACTATTCACTTACTCTTATTTGAATCAGTTACTATTTATAGTAACTGTGTTTTCCAAAAAACAAGGCAGCATGTGAAGCTTGTTTCTATCTCGTCTTGAAGAGGATCCACCCCAAATTTGTGTATGTTCCTCTCACCAAAATCTACGATTTGGCGGGTGGCACGCACCATGGAACCTCCTAGATAAGGTGAAATCTTAGAGAGAAGGTCATCAAAAAACATGAAATTGCAAGAAAATTCTGCAGCGTATGTCGTCGCTTCAGTGGCCGTATCTCAAGATTTCAGACTCTTACGACCTTGAGGCCGGTTCGTTGCGATCACGACTCGAAGGGCTCCGTTTTGAGTACTTATTTGCTCGAACTGGAGGACGTTAAGACACCTATTGAGGCTCGAAAGATGGCATGATTTTTTGACGTCAGAATTCCATTATTCGGCGACCATCCAAATTAGGAAAATGATCAATCGGCATTCAAATTGGGGGGTTTTCGTTGCAAAACGATCATGACTTCCCCTTTGATTTGTGATAAAGAAATCGATCACGAACACGAGAAGTCAAGCTACATCAATGATTGAAGTTTTCAAGAGTATGGACTTGACCAGATTTTTGGGTTCATGACCAAATGTTCAATTCAAGCTTCAAAATGGGTATCAAATTAATCGTCTTGAGATGATTATCATTTTTATGATGACGAATCACTCGAAATGTTGCCGTATGGCATCGAAAAAGTCCCCGAAGCATGGTTATGGGAAGAGGCCCCTTTTGGAGAGATGGTTTTGTCATTTTCAGGATTATAAATGGGGGTAAAATGGTCATTATGCCCAAAAACCGGATCGATTCTTTTATTCACTTAAATGGCATTTTAAAACAATTTTGTTGTCTTTTGGTCATCCGCCTTGTTTTGTGGAGATCATATATAAGTTCTTTAACATCATTTGTAACCTTAGCAAGAAAAAGTTGGAAAGAAGAGATAGAAATTCTAAGTTTTGCTCCTTTTAGCTGAAGTTTTTGCTTCGTTCTTGCTTCAATAGAGAGGAGACAAAATATTTTCTTACTTTGAGAGTTGCCCTTCGAACTCCCCACTTTCATACCCTACACTTCCAAACCTCTTACTTCCTACGACCTTACTCCTTAGACTGTCATAACCCATACTCCACCATACTCCCTAGACCACTATAGACTATACCCCACACCCATACTCCATAGTCCTTAGACTATTATAACCCATACACCACACCCTATGCCAACACGAGACCATTCCATGACATGTGCATTTTCAGTCGTATGGGAAGCCACTCTTCTATAAAATTATCTGATTTAGAATGGCTAGTGCACATATGCTTTGAGAAGACCCCTGTATTTGAGTAAAAATATGTTCCACAGGGGTACATCAATAATCCATTGTGCAAACCGATGATGGAAAGCACTGGCTCAGTGACTTTGATGTGGCCAATTATGTATCCCTTCTATAGACTCTAGAGCATTAGTCCACTAGGTTGGCTTGATGCAACGGTGGAATGTCATTTGGGACTAGCTCAATGGAAGACTCCAACTACTAGTGTTAAAAATGTAGAGATCTCATTTACCTTCTATCCAATTAATTTTATATTAATGAGAAAATATGTAATAATGTTGAGAAATCATTTAGAGAATTTTGAGATTTGTTTTGGAATTTTTTAAATACTAAATCACTTTTTTCGAATTTGTTTGACGTAAATACCAAACAAGGACATCTTATGGGGATGCCACGTGTCGCCCCCATCTTTCCTGTTGTTGTTGACATCATGCTGATGTCCTATCCACATGGGACCTTTTGGTCATTAGTTCTTTTAATGGCATTGTGTT